CAGATTTTAAAATAAATACTGTTCAGATTTAACAAGACTTACTAGCAGAACACTTAACATCAGTGACTTCTCTCACTTCTATGATCATAAAAATTAAGAAATTTTTTATATAATTGCTACTTAGATATGATAAATTAGTCATGAAAAATGTTACTGCTTAAAAATTGGGAAATTAATGAATTTCATGCAGAAACCTCTATTAAGCCCCTCTGCAAAAATCAAAGTGTGATGTACTCTACCTGGATTCCAGGATCTATTTAAAGAGCAATAGAGTTATTTAATATTAAAGCAAATGAAGAAATAGGGAAAATCAAAATAAAGCTATCTGGATATTTTATAAAGTTACGTGTCTATTTATTTTTCTAGTGAATTAAAAATATAGTGACATGGGCATTTTCTAGACGATACCTAGTCCAACAGTCTCTGGATGAGATTTCTTATTAGGCTAGTAATGATACTTTATTTACATGATGGTAAAATCAAACTTAATTTCAGGTGATAGTATATTTGCACAACTCTGCATAGTATGTATGATGCAATGTACTTATTTTAAATTCTGAGGCAAAGTTTGCTGTCTTCTCAGAAAAATCATTTTCTTTAAATGGATTAAACAGAGAAATATTAGTAGAACTTTATGCATGTAAAACAGCAACATATGAGGAAGTTAACATTTAAGTTTCACAATGACATTCACTGATTGAGAATATAACAAATGATTTTAGACAATGGTTGGTGAACATAGGCATTCTACCTTCTTTACACAGTCCTGTATTAAAGAAAAGACTCAGTTAAGACTTCTGCAGTAGTGAGAAAACAAAATTTGAAGAGAGATAAATTTAATGGGAATGTTATCTCACTATTACTGATGGGCCTGGTGATTTGCTCACTTGCAAAAATGGAATGAAACTGATAATTCCTGGCTCTGAGCTCATTTCTGACTGTTAACATGTGGGAGTAATGTAAAATAATTTGTGAATTGCCATGTCTCTAGCTGTAAATTCAAGTGATTTTAACTGGCATGTTCCTTATCTTGTCTGCCTTTTGCTGTGTATAGATATTTCTTGATAGATGTTCTTCTTGTGCACTGTTTCTCTCAAGGAATGGTTGTTGATATATGTCCATGTAAAGCAACCTGGTATTACTCTAATAAAATGTTAAATATTAGTATGATCAATTATAAATAGTAACGTGACTATAAAGCTCCTATATAATTTTGAATCCTGCCTCCAAGTTTTCAATATGAATGTAAATTTAAGTGTTTGCACATTTATGGATAAAGAAAATTGTCTCTGTTGTAGCTCTTAGTAGAGTTTATTAGCCCTTTCTGAGGGTGATTATTTATTTGGTAGTTTCGTGTTGTGCATCCTTGGGCATGTGTGCATGCATGAATGTGTGTGTCTTCTTATTTCAGGTCCTGAGCATTTTGCTTGAGAATATTCATTCACATATGTTTCCTTTCTGTTGCATGGACCATTTACTTCTTTTTCCTACAGACAAGGAAGCTTTCTGCAAGGAGAAAATTTTTATTTTTGAATCTTGCAAGAACTTGTTACAGGTTGACACTTCCATTTCATCCAGTATGTATTCTTCATAGGCTGATGACCTCTGCTTATCTGAGAGGTACACTGCACTGCAGGCCTCTACTGGGAAAATATCACCTCCTTTCCCTAGTAATAGACTTTCTTCATTTAACATAGAGGAATGGAAAACAGATATGTCCATTCCGAAGAAGGGGGGTAATTTTCACCTGCAGAAAATAAATGTTTTTACTTCTCTTCTACAAAACATTTGTTTCCCTTACTAATAAAAACTATTTTTTGTTATCTGTGTCTACTGTATGAAAATGGTAGAAAATTTCAAATGAATCATTGACAGAAATCTCAATTATTAAATTTGTCATGCAGACACTATGAGAAATGATTAAAACTCTGTCTTCCTCCCTTTTCTTCTTCCTTGGATTTTCATGCTTTAAAACATCTGTAGAGTTTGTGCTCCAAAAGAAGAAAGGGAAAGTGAAGACATCAATTATATTTGGTAGTAGTTTTTTCCTCCTAGTTTGATGGACTTCTGTGTATAAGAAATCTAGAACATATTTGTGGAATTCTTTTATGATGCTATTCTTCTTCATCAATATAGAAAATACAAAATTGCATTCACTATAATTGGAAAAGTTAATTAACTTCTATCCAAAAAGTAGTTTCAAACAACTTGGACAACTTAAAATACTAAATTAAAAATATGACTTTTTGTGTGCATGATATAAAACATCTAGATAATTTAAAGCATTATAATGAGTTCATGAAATTTTCTCTTTTCATATGACTATTTGACATAAAGGGCACAGTTTTATATACTACTTTTCTGGACATGATAATGTTTCTGTGCTGCTTTTAGTTACTGTTTTGATTAGTCCAGCTTTGAATTTTAGCTAAAATTTAGACTAATCCATAAATATATTCTAGTAGCCTAATTGCTAACTTAATTTTCATGTGACCTTGAATAAATTAGAACACAACAGATGTGGGACTGAGGGTAGAAAACACAGATAAAACTAAGAAAGTAAAAAATAATAGATACTTAGATAATAATGACCACATGAAAATAATAACAATTCTTTCTCCTTCTACTATTTATTCTTTTCCTGGTCCTTTTTCATTCCTCTTTCTTTTATTTCTTCTTAGTGTTTGAGAATATTGTTTTTGTACCACAGTAGGAATATGAATAATTGTTTACAGAAACTATTGAAAAATGATTGATTTTAACTTCAAGCTTATTTCCCTTTACTCAAAATTAGCTTATGTCACAATTTCATCACAGGTTAGCTTATGTTCTACCAAATCTTGAAACTACTTATACCTAGAAATATAAACTAGTGAAATCATATTTCCATCAGAATGACATTCAGATGTTAGAAATATTTTATAAATTGGAATTATTTTCACCATAAAATGACTATAGATTTAAATGCTCAGCAATAATACATGTGTTCATGTTTGAGTTTTAGTACTTTTTGTATCTCTCTCCCATCGCAATCCAAGCAGGTACCCATGAAAGGATGAATCAGGCAGCCTCTGCTCTAGCTGGTCCCTGAGCAGTTCATCTGTTTATTAGCCAATTGCAAGTGTGAACTAATTTTCTCTATGCTATTTTGCTTGCAGATGTTGGGTTTCCATATCTCTCAAAAGCCTGGTTGATGTAAAAGTATAACTAAGGTTATACCAGGTGATATTTCAGTACAGAAAATCATTATTGTAGAAATATTTTCATGGGAAATAGGTTTCAAGTTCAGAGTAATTGTGGCACCAAAATTTTTTAAACTGTGCTATCTATTTAACAAAGATAAAGTATATTTCTATATTCACCCATAAGAAAGCTTTTTTTCTGACAATAAAATAATAAATGTAAATAACTTACTGCTGAACTGTCTGAAATAGAAAATTCATGCAGCTGACAGAATGACCATAGGAAGTATAGTTTACCATCCATCTGTTCTGTTCTTGTCATTCATAATTCATAAGATATAGTCCTTTCTATTGATATAGTTGAGGGAACAGGGGTTGAAAACAGTGATGAGCTTGCTCTAAAGTTGATTTTACAAAGCTAGTTTTCTATTAACTTTTGATTTTTAATACATTTTGGTGTTTTTTACTCTTCTCGAGAATAATTTTCTTCATTCTTTTGTTGTTGTTGTTGTTGCTTAGTCTCCATAGTGAGTGTTAAAAGTTATAGAAGTGTCAAGGATAAGTAAGGAATATATAAATCACAAAAGTACTGATTCTTATATATCTTTTAGTCTATAAGATTGTCTTATGCATTGGAAATACTCTGATATTGAATGCATGAGTATAGCCTGTAACCATGCCTGCTGTCATGTAATCAATGTTTAAAAGTGAAAAATTGATACATTTAAAAAGAATGCTAGGAGATCATTTAATAAAGATACCTTTCCTAGAACTATCTCAAAAGGAAGAATATTGATTTGATTTAAAAAGCAAAAATAGCGTACTTGGTGTGCCACAATTAGCTCACTCGTTCACACTAGAAAAATCAGTTGACAGTGTAAAATTTGAATTTAACCTAACTGGTAATATGACTGCACTGTGTCCTTTCTGTTCTCTCTGCGTGGGCGTGATGCATGTCTGAGTGATATGCCATCATATATGTGTGTTAGGAACAAGCTGTCAGTTTGACTTAAATGGACATGCCATCCATAGGATGGGGAGCTGTTGCTTCTCACTGGATTGACACCTATTAATCTAGTTTGGTTTCTTCCCTGTAGCGAATTTTATTTCTTAGAGTTCATGTTTCCTGTTCTAGCCTTTACTTCTTGCACACTAAAAGCCCTGTTAGGAGATGCTTTACTAATAAACTGACGGTTTGCCAGAGTAGACTTGTTTAAAATGTACGAATTAAGTTTCATCTCTAGGTTAGCCTAATGATGCCTTTTTCTCTGTCTTGGAATGTTTTGAAATGTCCAGATTCATTAAGGTTTTGCATATCTGCAAAGTTAATGAAAAAATCAACTGCAGTAATAACAGTGATTTTTTGAACTTATTACATACAGTTTTTGGAAACTTGTTTAGCCTCTGTCTCCACACCATGGTTAATATATTGAAGGATTTCACTGTAAATGTTATTTCTTGCCTTTATTCAAAATTTTAAATTTATTTCTAAAAATGGCAATAAGTGTTTATGATTAATTATTGATTTCGCATTTCTCCTCAAAACTTCTATTCCAGCATAGGAGTGAAATTAGATTGCAAATTGTCACCCTAGCACAAAACGTCTCAAAAATTCAATCCATGGTCCAAGGCTCCAGGCTAAACAAGGAAAGGGTAAAACTAAGACACCCTGAATTCATGTTTGTTTTATGTAGAGAACAGAGAAAGCTGTGACTTAGTTTACCCTTTGTCAGTTTTCACTAAGACTAACTGATTCTCCTTTGGTATTCTTTGTTTTTAAAGCTACTTATTAAACTATGGGGTTTATTTGTTTGCTAGACAAAGATGAATGCTCTAAGGATAATGGTGGGTGTCAGCACGAATGTGTCAACACGATGGGAAGCTACATGTGTCAGTGCCGAAATGGATTTGTGCTGCATGAAAATAAACATGATTGTAAGGAAGGTATGGAAAGGAATGCTCTTTTTTGACAACATCTCTAATTTCGTCTGGTTTGAGTAAGCACTGCTTTCAAGTAGAGTTATTTATAGGAATGAGTAATACCACAGTTGAGTGTTCAAAGGCCAAAAAATAAAAATAAGAAATTGTGTATAACATTCAAAGATCTTGGGTTTACATTAGAAATCTCATCCTATTACCCAATGGTTTTGCACTTCACACATGGGTGGGATTAGAGTGACTTTGTATAACAGATGGAGAAACTGCTTTGAGGCCATCTGGTAGTCCCCAAATCACCACATTTTCCTCAGGTCCTTGTAGAACAGACTCTAGCACTATCCTTATATCAACTTAATTTCTGAAAAATGTTTTACATTTAATTTAATGTCCTTCCCCAAAATGTCTCATATATGTCCTACAAAAGTACTGTGCCTTTAAATACCAGGAGTATCAAACTCAAATGCCTACCAAAGGGAAGACATTTGTAAGTGGTAGATACTGTGCCATTTAAAGTTTTAAGTCAGAATTTTAGCCTGAAAAAAGAAAAAAAAATACTAGTAGCACAATAGTAGCCAAGAGATTTGTCCCCAAAACTTTACAAAATTTAAGATTTTTTTAGAACAATGATTTTCATCTCCTCTGCTACTATGAGTTAACTGAGAGCAAGAGAATTATTCTGATCTTATTTCTTTGAGAGTCTACTGTAGAGTTTTCTACTTAAATCAGAGGTATGCATATTTTGAAAGGAGAATTATTAAGGAAGATTTTATAACTTTAGTCAGCAGCATTTTTAGATTGGAGGGACCTGACCAACACCACAGCTGGATAGTAACTTTTGGTAAGTGTATATTAGAAACATAAAGAATTTTCTGAATTGACATTCAGTTCCATTCAAATAGGACTTTTCTCTATTTCTTTGAGATTATGGCATTGTGTGAAATCATATGCAAGCAGGAATTTTTGTCTCTCTACTTTCATGTAGATGATGTAACTTGGTAGGATATGCTGTTAACTCTGTAGGCTGGGAAACAGTCCAGTTGCTCTTGCAGACGTGGAAGATAATTCAGAGAACAAACAAAACAGCTTTTATAGATTATGCCTGTAACCCAGGATTCTCAGATAGCAAATATATTTCTGTTCATTGAAACAACTAATATTTTCATTAATGCTTTATAGAAAACTTCTTTTTAGACAGAATGGTGTCCAGGTGCTCTTAATATAGTGCATTGTTGTGGAAAGGGTTTGAGTTTTACCTCTGTCTTAGAACAAGTACCGTGTACAGTTCAGCAGCAAGTCTCTTAGCTTTGCTGCAGGCTGTTTCAGACCTTGCAGATTTTTCATATGCACAGTCAGGGATAATGGAATTTAGGAAAACGTTATCATAACTCAATCCAGAAAGTTTTATAATAATAATTATTATGAATGCAGCGCTTAGGCATTGAACTCAAAGCCTTATGCATGCTAGACAAGTGCTCTATTACTGAGCTACCCAGCTCCGAGCCCAGACTTTTAAGGCCATTATCTAGCTACTAATCCTAATTTCTTTGATAGGAGCTGAGTTTCACCTTTCTCTCTTTTTTTTTTTGTATTCTATTGCAAATCAAAATCTCTCTGAAAACTAGGCACAATTAAAATGAAGATGTACTACTGGATAATGCAACAGTGAAGCAACACTAACAACAATTACATTAATTAATGGGACTCTTGTGTAACCCTGTAGTGTAGCAAGTATATTATCCACATACAATGAAGAATTTCCCTAAATATGAAATGGTCTCATCTAAGCTGACATTGTGAAAAATGTAAAAGAAATTTAATGTCAATCAAATGATATTATTTGAAGTTAGTTTAGAAGATTTATCCAAGGCTAGTAGCTATTCATTTATTTTTCCCGAGTGTTTAATTTTCTTTGATGAAATAGAGGTTACTTTATTTTAGCATCTAAAATTGTAGCTTAGGTGTTCAAGTGTATAATTAACTAAGGAAGAGAGAAAATGTTAATGCATGATTCACAAAATGCTTTGATGATGCTAATTAGCTGTAAGTTATGTTTTTGTTGATAGGGAAAAAATTTTAAATGATATAATCTCCAGTGATTTTTGTTTGTGGCAATGCATTACATGTTTTGTACACTCCTGGTACTACTATGCTTGGTTGTCAATATCTGTTACTCTACTAAAATCTGAGTTAATGGGTTGAGCAGTTTGAAGGAACTCATTTTCTCTTAGGCATTTATCTGACTCATGGTAAACACTTAATTTCCAGTGAGTCAGACAACAAACACTGCCTGATTAGTCTCAGCCACATATTTGCCAAAGCAGATGGATCTGATGACAGAGATTAGAGTGAAGAGTAGCCAGTGTGCAGGAAAATCTTTCAACCAAGCAGTGGGCAAATAGGCTGCTTATTTTCTGGCCCAATCCTGGACTAGATTTGCACACTGACTGATATTATCATTACTGGCACAGCCGAGTGTGAGCAGAAGATCCACAGTCCAAGTGGCCTCATCACCAGTCCCAATTGGCCAGACAAGTACCCAAGCAGGAAGGAGTGCACGTGGGAAATCAGCACCATTCCTGGCCACCGGATCAAATTAGTAAGTGAGCCCCCATCCTCCTTCTTCTTAATGTGACAACCCTGCCCATGTCTTTCAAGGCTAGCACATGGGGTGGAGGAAGAATGTATATTTAATTGAATTGAATCAGTAGGCAGCTGGAAAAGATTTTCCTGCTCATGCTTTCCTACTTACACTAAACAAATCCTTGATTTCCCAGATCAAGGTGATAGCCATATTGTTCTCCTATAGGATTCTTTTCCTGGATGCTTTAAAAGGCATTACCAAAGTTGCTGCAAACAGTAGGCTCTACTTTCTAAAAATGGTATTTCCAAATGGGAGAATAAATGAAGAAACAAAAAAATCAGAAATTCAGCAAGAAAACAATGTAAGAAACATTTATTTAAACACAGTATAATATATTCTACTGTTTGTATCAATTCTATATGCCTCATATACAAAGTGTAAGTGTTTTTATAGTACAATCAACTTTGCCTTATAGCTTAGAGAATATTGTTTTTGGATAATGTGTTACCCTCTGTAATGAGATACAAATACCCTTCTACTTTTCCCACATATTCTACATGAGCAATTCAATTACAAATATAAAGTTTGTTTGTTTTTTCTCCTGCATTCTTCGAGTCTTGCATTCTAGCTTGGTCTCATCTGATATAACTTGCCAGAGTTTATTATAGACCACAGAGTCTATACATTTTAAGGAAGTAAAATCATAGGAATATAAGAATTTAAACAATTTCCATTCAATATGATGTATTTAGAAGCAGGAGGGAATGCTAGCCAGCAAGGCTCATAATATCACAAGACACTAGAGTAAAGAACAAAACTTACCTTATGAATAAGGCTTTCAGTTTGAAGAAGTTCACTGAGCAACCCCAGCCATAAAGTTAGTTTTAAAATTTCCTGTTTGGATTCTACTGTTCAGTGATTTTTTTGACCAATCAAGAGGCCTTATTCAAATATGTCACTAATAATATCAAACTATGATAAGATACCCATATTGCTATTATGGAGCTCTTTCCATTCACCATATTTATAAGTGACTTTCCAGACAGAGGCACCAGCTCATTTTAGTCACTCTGTTGAAGGATGCTAGATGCTGAGATGACAGCATAGTAGCAACTATATTCTTTTCCAGTCCTGTCCAAGGTCCTGATTGAGAGGATAATTCTAACCTTAAGGACTGAAATACATAAGGTGTATTCTTTGCAGCAGCTAAACTAATGGAGTTGGGAAAATAGGTTTTCCTGATCACTGAATTTTTTGAATTTTTTGGTCTGGTATCATAGCCTTCTCTTTGAAGGATTTCCTCTTATGTTGTGTTTAAAGTAAGTACAGTATCACTTTTGAAAGATTTTTTTCATTGGATATAGAATTAATTCTAGGATGGCAATTTTACTTTCTTTTCTGCACTTTAAACACCTGACACCATTATTTTCTGCCATTTGTAGGCTTTTATAATTCTGTTCTAAAATTTTTCTTCTTATTAACAGTTTGAATACAACATGTCTAAGTGTGTGTATTTATGTGTATTTATCCTTTTCAAAATTCTCTGAATTTCCTGAATTTGGATTGTGGCTTCTGTCATAATTTTCAAAGGTTTTCAGCCATTACTTCTTCACACAATTTTTCTGCAGCATCATGTCTCTTCTTGGATTCAAATTTACATGTTTGAGATGACTCTATAACTTCAAAGTTTTGTTAATTTTTTGTCACTTGTTTTCAGCTTAAGTTTGAGTAATTTGTATTGGCCTTCTTCAAGTTCAGTGATTATTTCTTTAGCCATCTTCAATCTGCTGATGATCTTGTATAAAGCAATCTTTTTCTTTCTTACTGTGCTTTCCTTTCAAGCATTCATGTATGATACTTTATTATAGTTTGCATCTTTTTTTAGTTTATTCAAAATGTCATAAGAAAAAGCAATAGGGTTGGTAGCTGAACAGCAAAAAACTATTTTCTCACAATTATGGAGCCTAGAAGTACAAGATTAGGTTGTTTTCAGAATGGTTTCTGGTGTTGGGTGGTGGATGGCCCCCTTGTCATGGTCCTCACATGGCCTTTTCTCTTTACAGATACAGAGAGCAAAATTTCCAGTATCTCATATTTTTATAAGGACACCAGCTCTATAGCATTAGTGCCCTGCCCTTATAGTTAAGCTCAGAGATGAGAACTTTTAGAAAAATGTCCTTTTGTGTGGTTGCTCAGCACTGATTTAATTCCAGAGAAAAAGCCACATGCTGTTACATTCCCTTGTTTCATTCTAGTAGTTTGACAGTTTCATGTCTTGCATTTTAGTCTTTAATCTATTTTGATTTTGAGTTGTTTTTGGATACGGATAATGGTTCAATTCCCTTCTTCTATCTAGTTTTTTCAGCACCATGGATTGAAGAGACTGTCATTTCCCCATTGTCTTTTCCATCAAAAATCAGTTAAATTTAAATGCATGGATTTATTTCTGGAAATTCTATTCTGTTTCACTGGTATATCTTTCTATTTTTGTTCCAATACCATGCTATTTTGTTTACTTATTGAAGTTAAGTAGTGTGGTACTTCCAACTTTCTTTTCACTCATGATTGCTCTGACTATTTGGGGTCTTTTGTGATTCCATACAAAATTTAGGATTTTTTTTCTGTTTAGAATGTCACTGATATTTTAACAGAGATTGCATTGAATCTGTAGGCCACTTTGGCCAGTATAGCTATTTTAACATTATTAATTCTTACATTTCATGAACATGGGGTATCTTTCTCTTTATGTCTGTCTTCTTCAATTTCTTTCATCAGTGTTTTAAAGCTTACAGTATAGAGCTCGTTCACCTTCCTCATCAAATTTACTCCTAAGTCTTTTATGTTTTTAGTTGTTATTGTAAATGAGATTTTTTTTTTAAGATTTTGAGTCAGTGTCCTGCTATATAACCCAGGCTGGCTTGGAACTCACTGTGTGGTCCAGGCTGGCCTTGAACTTGAAATTTCCCTCCATCAACCTCCTGAGTACTGGGATTACAGTCATGTACCACCACACACAGTTGTAAGTTTTTTTTAAATTTCTTTTTCGATTTTTGTTTGTTGTTAGTAAACAGAAACACTGCTGATTTTTATATGTTGATTTTGTACCCTTCAACTTCACTGAATTCATTTATAAGGCCTCTGTACATTTTATTGCTAAAGCAAATCACTAAGGCTGTCCAGAATTCAAGAAGAAAATAAGACTTAATCTTTCAATAGGAGGAACAGCAAAGAGTATATAACCATTTTAAATCCCACACAGGCATTTAAATATATGAGACTGCATATATTCAGGGAAGTAAAGAGCATAAATGAGTTATTACTTATATTCTTGTGACAAGTATAGATGGGTAAGCCCATAATGTCTAACTAAACTACTTTTAAGCTCTAGAATACCACCTAGTGTATAAATAGGAAATGTTTAAAGGTGATTTTCTTTAATGCCATAGTAAATAATGTCCAGGAATATTAAACAATTTCTATACAATAGTGATTTAAGTTACATTAGTATTACATAATACACATATTCATTAATTTGTCTCTAATTTCAACTTCAAATTGAATTTCATTGAATTTCCTATTTTAAAGCTATATAGGAGAATTAAGATGCATTTAAAAGTAGATATTTCAGTGCCTAAGGGTGTTTTTTGATTCATTCACATGGCTTTTCTGATATGTTCTGATATTTATTAAAATGCTAAAATAGCATCTTCATATAAATTCAATAAGCTAGAGAGTTGGGATTTGTAGAGGCTTGCAGTGTCCTTTAAAATTTTTTAAAATAGGTATCATCACATGTAATTCTATAAATAAAATATGACTTTCAATTTTTTTCATTTCTGGAAAGCACTTCCCAAATAGTGCAATGTCACTTCATTGCACACGTTTTTGTACTGCACAACACTGTACTTGAGATAAATCACACTAAGGACAATTATGTGTAGTCCCTAATACTTTCACAGTGACATCATGCATATTATCTCAATTTAGTATCAGAAATGACGAAGTAGTTCCAGGAAGTTTAGGTGACTTGGCAAGTTTATAAAGCTCTGAAAGTCTGAATTCCTTTAAAACAGTATTCTAGCTCCATATTTTATATTTTTGATGATAGCATCCTGCATCAGAGAGGAAAGAGCTGCATAATTGCTGTGCACTTGCAGATTTAATAATTTAAATAGACTTAGAACTATCAAAAGGAAATCAGTACTTGTAAGGCAAAATAATAGCAATTAAATTAAAAACATACAGTAGGGATTGTGGAGGGATTAGGAACACATATTTAGAGCTCACAGAGACTTGGGTGTAGCTCCTACACTTCTTACCATTCTTGCTAGTGCGAGGTGATATTGACCCTTTCAGGCCTTGATTTCTTCATCTGGAAACTGGAGCTAATGCTTTCTCATGAATTTTGTACAAATGAACATACATATAAAGTATTTGCCATTGTGCCTTATTGTCAATAACCATTGACATATGATATTCAAATAGTAACTGTAATAATAATTGATAAAAATCACATACCCTTTTATTGGATTATTCAATTAAGGTCAATGAAAATCTCTGCACAGATTTAGGAACATAAAATTCAACCCTAACAATAAAAAGTAGCTAATTATCCTTTTCAGAATACTTTTTATTTGAAGGAGCATCCAGAAAATATTATAGACTTTGTGGAATATACAGCCTGTTTTGCAATAATTGCAATGCTAACATTAGTGTGAAAGAAGCCAGACAACACTCAGATGAATGAACTTTGCTGTGTTCTCATAAAGTTCTATTTCAAATATATGTTGTAGGACAGATTTGGCCTGTGGAATATAGTTCATCTTCTCTGGAGCTAAGAAAGTAGGAAAAAGAATTTGGTCATCATAGTCTGTGGGCTCACTTTTCCCTGAAAATCACATATACTGCGAGGGTGAAAATGTTAGCTCTTACTTTCTGTGGAAGGTAGAACAATGGTCCCCCAGTGGTGTCCATGTTCCAATCCATAGAACCTGTGAATGTGTTACCTTTGTGCAAGGT